ACTACCAGAGCTCCCTATTAAATGATAGGGCATTTTAAATCTATGGGGAAAATGTATTCAATAAAGAGTACTTGGAATATTGTGTATTCATCTAGAAAAACAAAACATGGATTACTAGTATCATATGATAAACTAAACCAAAATGAAACAGTGCCATGGAGTCAATTTCAACTCATAGTGACCTCCATTGGGTTTCCCAGGCTGTAAATCTTTATGGAAGCAAACTGCCTTCTCTTTCTTCTGTGGAACAGCTGGTGGGTTCAAACTGCGAACCTTTTTGGTTAGCAGCCAAATGACTTAAGCACTACACCACCAGAGCTCCTTCATATGATATAAAACATACATAAAATTCCAATATTTGTTCTTGTTACCTAGTGCTGCTCTGACAAGAATATACCACAAATGGGATGGCTTTAACAAACAAGAGTTTATTCTTACATTTTGGAGGTTTTAAGCCCAAGCTCAGAGTGCCAGGCTCTCGAGGCTGGTTGAATGCCCCTCAATCTTGGGCTTCATTCAGCTCTGCCTCCTGCCTCTAGCCCACTGAAGCTGGAGGCTTTTCTTCATTCAGCTACTGGCTGCTGAGGCTGACAAATTCAAGGTTGACAAGTAAAAAGGCACAGTCCCAATATTACCAAATCCCAGGCAGGTCATTGATTCAATACCATTAAAAGTCCCAAGACTGGCAGAGCATGGCAGGCTGCTGAACAACGACTCAACTACATGCAGGGTTCAAGCATACCATAAGCTAGAAACCATTCCGAAAGCTGCTTCTTATATATGGGAAGCAGACCACATCCCTAAAGCAGCTACTCAGCTGCTTGTGGTAGATCCCACCATGGAGCTGATTACCAGTCTCATTGTGGAGAATAACTACCACCAGCTGCCCAGCCACTCAACTAGCCCCAGCCAAGTTGACACACAACCTTAACTCCCACAATACTCCAACCACACAAGTGCTTAAAGAAGATGCACTAGAATATTTGTATAATCTTGATGTGAAATATAAAGGAAAATTTGAATATGTATTAAAACTTCTTATGACAAAAGACAGTGTGAGCAAAGTTAGAAGACAAATAACAAACAGTACAAATATTGCTTATGACAATATACTGTTGTTATATTTATTATTACCATATAAAGAGCTTTTGAAGGCTGGCGGTTCAAACCCACCAGCCACTCCTCGGAAGGAAGGTTGGGCAATCCTACTTCCGTAGTGATACTTCCTCAGAAACCCAAGGAGGGGTCGCTATGAGTCGGGGCCGACTCGACGGCACATAACAACAACAACAAAGGGCTTTTATTGGTCATTAAAAAAATGGGAAAATCAAATATGTAGTTCACAAATGAAGAAATAGAAATGGTAAACATATTACCAACCATTGAATAATTTAAGTAATGAAAAGTAAAATGAGATTATTTAGTCACCGTAAGATAAGCAAAGATTAAAAATTATTTTTAATGCTCAAAGATGTTATGAGAAAATGGGTCGTTTATAAGGTATTGTTTAGGTTATACATTTTAAATATTTTGGAGGGTAATTGATAAATATATGTATCAAGATTTGAAATGGGTCTTCATTCAGCAATTTGATTTCTTTGAATTTATTCTAAGGAGGTACAAAGAGGTATGTTCATTGTAATATTTATAGTAGCACAGAAATTAGAATCAATATAGGTGTCCATTAACAAAGGACTCTTCGAATAAATGTTGCAGAAAAAGATGCTAGACAGATTTTCAAATTGTTGTAAGATGAGATTATTTTTAATAAAAACAGAAAGAAGGTTTGAAATAATGTGTACACTATGATCCTAAATTTGTAAATAAAACTATGTTATTTTGTGTCAGGTGCTGTTGACTCAGTTCTGATGCATGTACAACAGTAAAATCCTGTCTGGTCCTGTGCCTTCCTCACGGTCTTGCTGTATTTGAACCCACTGTTGCAGCCACTGGGTCTGTGCATCTCGCTGAGGGTTTTTCTCTTTTTTGCTCTCTACTTTACCAAGCATGATGTCCTTCTCTAGGTAATGAGCCCTCCTGATAAAATGTCCAAAGTACATGTGACAGAGGCTTGCCATCCTTGCTTCTAAGGAGCTCTCTTGCTATATTTCTTCCAAAACAAATTTGTTCTGGCTGTCCATGGTATATTCAGTATTCTTCACCAACCCCATAATTTAAAAAGGCATCAGCTCGTCTTTGGTCTTCCTTATCCATTGTCCAGCTTTTGCATGCATATAAGGTGATTGAAAATACCATGGCTTGGGTCAGGTACAACTTCTTCTTCAGAGTGACATGTTTGCTTTGAAACATTTTAAAGAGGTCTTTTGCAGCAAATTTGCCCACTGCATTACAGCACTGGATTTCTTGATTGCTGCTTCTATGAGCATTGATAGTAGATCCAAGTAAAATAAAATCCTTGCCAACTTCAATCTTTTCTCCATTTATCATTATGTTGCTTATCGGTTCCGTTGTAAGGATTTTTGTTTTCATTATGTTGATGTGTAATCCATACTGAAGGCAGTAGAGTTTGATCTACGTTAGTAAGTGTTTCAAGTCCTCTTTGCTTTCAGCAAACACGGATGTGTCATCTGCCTATTGCAGGTTGTTAATGAGTCTTCCTCCAGTCCTGATGCCATGCTCTTCAACTTCTTGGATTATTTGCTCAGCATACAAATTGAATAAGTATAGTGAAAGGATACACCCTGACACACACCTTTCTTGATTTTAAACCACATAGTATCCCCTTGTTCTGTTTGAACAGCTACCTCTTTTTCTATGCACATGTTCCTCATGAGCACAATTAAGTGTTCTGAATCCCCATTCTTTGCAGTATTATCCATACTTTGTTATGATTCACACAGTCAAATGCCTTTTCATGGTCAATAAAATACAGGTAAACATCTTTCTGGTATTTTCCAGTTTCAGCCATAATCCATCTGACATCAGCAATGATATATCTCGTTCCATATCTTCTTCTGAATCCAGCTTGAGTTTCTGGCAGTTCCCTGTATTGCTCCAACTCTTTTTGAATTATCTTAATTCAAAATTTACTTGCATGTAATATTAGTATTGGGAGCTCTGGTAGCATAGTGGCTAAGACACTTGCCTGCTAACCAGACGGCTGGCGGTTCGAACCCACCAGCCACTCCTCGGAAGGAAGGTTGGGCAATCCTACTTCTGTAGTGATACTGCCTCGGAAACCCAAGGAGGGGTCGCTATGAGTCAGGTTT